ACGTATCCAAATGATCAGAAGGTTGTTGATTGCGTTGTTCTTTGATCTATTGCACCAAGATATTTTACTGTACATTTATTTACAATTTATTTACAAGTCCATATGCCACCTGGCATGTTTACAAGCGTTCATGCCTCCTGGCATGTACATGATAGACATATTCTGCCACCTGGCATGTGAATTGATACATCATATTAGTTTTCTGCCACCTGACAGATACGATGCAATTACCTCAATTAGCGGTAATACGCCCGACATTTTGGCGTGTCCGCTTCCCTTACGTTCTGTAACGCAACTAACTTTTTGTGCGGTGCGCCCTCTGGGCACAAATCACCGCAATCACCGAGGAGGCCAAAACAGGACTGGAAGAATTATGGATTGCTTTATGAATGGTAAATAGAACTTCATAAAACTTTAATTCCAAATTTTTCTAGGAAATTCAATGTCAGCATGCTCATAAAAGATATGGCTTGGTCTGCACCTCTTTTGGAAATCCCATTTGACTAAAAATTTGAAGAAAACCATCAACAATCATTGATGAACAAATATTTACAACAGGAACTGCAGTTATCAGATATTTATTTTCTGAAGGTATCACAAGCAGAAGCCCACAAGCATCAATATTTATTTTTGAAAATATATGCATGGTAACAGCAATTTTCAATGGCTCTTTCTTTTTATCTTGTGGCTTTCCAATTCTTTGACATTTGTCACTAGTTTTAACAAAATTCTTGACATCTTTGTAACGATTTGGCCAATAAAAAGTTTTGAATAATGCATCTTTGATCTTTGTTGCACCAAGATGGGCTGCTATTTCTTCATCAGAAATAGTCATCAACTGTTTCCGATATTTCTCAGGAGCAATAATCAACAGTCTTTGTGTTCCATCACAATCTTCTTTTTTGAAAAAGAGCATATGTCCTTTCAACATATGCCTTGTACCTTTACAAGATTTTATTTTATCTCCCTCATGAAGTGGCTTCAATTCAGCGCTCTCCTTCTGTTCTGGTATAAATATTTCTAAAGAGGCCTTTATCAGATCTAATTCAGAACATCCATATTTCATAGAAGGCAAACTTTCATTTTCAGTCAGTGTGTCTTTGTCTGCAAGTTCAGTTTAAAAATTTAACTCATCTGTTGAGTCTAAATTTTCCATTTCTTTTAGACGTCACTGTTGAGCATGAGTTTGTACAGAGTTTATCATATGGATTTGAACTTCTTCATCTCGTTTTGCCTCTTCAAATAATCCAGCTGTTTGTATCCAGCTAGAAGATGCCTTCCTAGATTTAATTAATCTATTTGTTATTATATGACCAAGATCACATTCAAGCTCTACCTTAGTCAAAGATAAGGATATTGGATGTTCTCTCAAAGATGTTCATATCCACATGGTTTCACCCTTGTACATGGAAGGCTATACATACTTTTGGCAAATTAAATCCACTAGTTGCACTAGTATCTCTAAGTATGGACATTTTATAGCTGGTATGTGGAGGTATGTGGCTGGTTACCTAGGCTGGTATGTGAAGCCATAATATCCTTAAAACTCTTTTTGGAAAATTCATTTGAGGGTACAGTTTCATTTGATGATACAGTTTCCAAATTCTTCATGAGCTTATCACATTAAGGTTGAAAATGCGAGTAGGATCCGCATTCATAACAACAATGTTGTCTTCATTTCACGAATTCCCATTCCTAAATTTTATTAGTACGTTCTGTCTTAATTATATGTTTAGTATTAAAATCTTTTGAGATTTCTTTAGGATTTTGTCTATAGTGATAATTTACTTTGCATTCTTTTCCCATTTTGATGACTTTCTTGAAGTTTTAAACCTTGTTTTCTAGGATTTTCCTTCTTAAAGCTTTGTTTAATACTCTCATACTCTTCTAATTTTTCTGCTAGCTCATATGGAGTTTTTAATTTCATCAACAAAATGGTCTTTTACTTCCATAGGAACTCTATATTTAATTTTCTCAGTAACTATGAAATCTTTCAGATTTTCAAATGTCTTAATTTCTAAATTTGCAATCCACTCCAAAAAGTAACTATAAAGTTCATAAGCATAATTTCTTCAAGGCTTTTCAGGAATGTTTTGATGTCAGTAAAAGCATTGTGTCAGCATTTCACTATTAAGTTTATATTTTTTTAAGATTAGATTTTTCACATATTTGTATTAAATTGCATCTTCAGGTGGTTCTCTAGCTAACATATTGGAGATTTCAGTAGGTTTAACACCCAAAAGATAAGGCACACAATCTTTCTTAGGGATCTGAGTCATTTCAGCCTTTTTCTCAAAATTTATCAAATATAGCCCAATTTCATCTCTTTTTTTTTTTTTTTTTTTTTCATTAGACTCTGGAGTAGTTTGTGACAACTGGATTTTATAGCTTGATTTTACTTTATTCACTATTGATTATCTAGCTCGCATTTCCCGATTTTCCAATTCAAGCCGCTTTATTTCTAATTCATATGCCCTTGCTTCTCGAGCCAGGCCTTCTTCTAAATCAGCAATTATGTTTAACTTTGAGAAACTTATTACTCGGAGAATTAATTTAACTTCTTTTTTATTGTAAAAGTGACTTTCAGTGATTATTATTATTATTATTATTATTATTATTATTATTTTTTTAATTTATTTCTGGGACCTTACTTGTGAGTGGCATTTTCTCACCTAATTCTTTGGCTACTTCTATTAAATCTTGTTTTCTACCCTTGGCAAGAAATGTCATTTTTTGAAACAGAAAACTCTTGGGCAGTGTATCAAAATTAATTTTAAAAGCCTTTTAGCCAATATTAAAAAAATACAAATCAACTTAGTCTAGGTTTCTTTTCTTTTTTTTTTTTTTTCTTTCTTTTTAATTATAAATTCAAATATGACACAATGTATTTAAAAAAAAAACACTGAATACAATAAAAAGTATGTGCTTTTCATTTAATAAAAATCTGCAAAGCTTGCTCTGAATAATTTATACTAAAGTAAATAAAAAGTATTCAAGACTCTAACTTGATTCACACAACAAAATTCTTGATTTAGGACTCTAATACAAGAGCTCAAATTTCAAAAGAACATCCTAATCAGGCTAATTATTTTGATGTTTTAATCCAAAAGTTCAAACTTAGAATATCGTACTATTAGTTGAATTCAATAATAAGGTGAAACATTTTCATATAAAACGGCACTGTATGTAAAAAAAAAAAAAAAAAAAAAAAAAACTGATACTCACATGTGCTGTATTCCTTTCATTTTTAAATAAACACTAATTTCACTTTTCAATCCCATTGGCGATGCATATTTTTTATATGAACGTAATAAAGTTTTAGAGAAATCTTACTATTTTGATCATACAACCATCTTTTTTTCGTCAAACTTATAAAATAACTGAAAAAAAATTAAGCATATGCATCTTCAAGCATGGATATTTTATGTGCAAAGTTTCTTTACATTTCTTACTGGTATAACATTGATAGCGTAGCAATGCAAATATGTTACAATTCCTACAAGCTGTTATATGTGGTTTGAAACTTTTATGTCCAAGATTAATATCACAAAAAAAAAAAAAAAAAAATTGTTCCTACTAGAACCCCCAAGATGTTCAACACCTTCAAATAGGTCTTCGTGAAAAATTCTTTTTTTTTTTTTTTCGTATGCATCTTCTTCTCCTGCCTTCTCACCTCTTTAAAAACTTCAGCTGTGTTTCTTGACTATTATCTCTGTAACATTTTATCATAATATTTTCTTTTATTTTTTTGTAACCAGCTCACATTCTTTTTCAAACCAGCTTCTACATATGATGTTTTCACTGTCACCAAGATTAAAATCTTCTGCATTAGGGAAAATATCCTTAATTGCAGTTGCCTGAATCCAACTTTTGGTTGAGATGAGACTGGTATTTTAGTTTAAAATTTTGGTGCTTTAACGGTTCGTAATTGTACCCCCCCTTTTTTTTTTGTTTTATCTCTCGTATCTTTATCTATCAGTTTTATAGTGATTTTGGCCTTTATGAGTAGGTGGTAAGAGCCAAAAGCAGTACCGCATTAGGTCTTATATCATTAATGTCTATCTATATCTATTATCTGTCTATCTATATTTAAAATCAATAAATACTATGTATATAGTTAATCTAGTTCTATGTCTCTCCATCAGAGGACTGCCAATTAAGTTTCTATATTTTTTAATGATAAAAAAATGTACTGGATATTTTCATACCATCATGACAAAATTACTTGGATTTTACACAAATCCAACAGTTCATTTTCTGACCTATCAATATATTTTGTTGTCTTGTTCTGAAATATAAATTTCTCTGTGATTTGAATTTTTGGGGAATTAATAGCACTTCTTATCTGTGTGATTTGACCTATCCTGGCCAACCTAAAACAGCTTTAAAATCAGGGTCCAATTAATTCTTTTTTATTAAGAGATTATTTGGGGTTATGTAGAGGTTTGGGGCATAGCCTGTTGCCCCATTCATAAAACAGAAACTTGGTTATTAGAAATTAAGGATGATTTGTGAAAACATTAAAAACTAGAGTCTAAGACTCTGGCACTGTATGTTTTGGCCATAATTGGGCCCTAGCTAAAATTTCACTGCCGGTTTAAATTGCTTTTTTGCCTATTTTTTTACATAGGAGCTATTATAGTAATACAGTGGTTTTTTATAGATTAAAGAAAGGATTGTATCTAAATTGTGTCTGTATTTGCTTAACATCAGAATCTAATAGCATGCAACAGATTATAAAAATTAAAATAAATTAGACTTCCATCTTAGTGTAAGTTAGAGAAAAAGAAAGGAAGATAATTCACTAAAAGAGAAGCATAGGCAAAAACTTAGAATTATGCGCTAAAGTTATGTCTTTCAGGTAATGTTCATTAGCATTTAGAATCATTAAAAGATTAGTGAAACTTAATGGCTTTTTGTTTTTTAAAAATTTTGACTATTTTTATAATATGAACTTTTGTAAGATAGCTATAATATGTAATTATGTATTATTTTAATAGGACATGTTGCTGCTCCATTTATTGTCCATGCCTTCTGCAATCATATGGGATTTCCAGATTTTGGTCAGTTATTGAATCTTGAACAACCCAAAAGATCAATTCTAATGATTATTTTTGTCACTGGATTAGTACTGTGGATACTTTTATTGAAACCAATGACAAATCCTTATATTTACAATAATTCTTTGTATTGGCCAACGATTTTAGATTAGTATTGTGTGAGATATGTAAATAATAGGTGCTAATGCATTTATATTTTTATGGCCTTATGAACTAACTTAGTGCTTTTAATTTGTAATATATTTTTGTTATTGTAAAAAATTTCATAATGAAACTATTAAAATATTGCTTTTTTTCCCCTTTTTGAATATTTTATGACATCACGATCTTACAATCTTCTAATCATCTCCCTTTTAATTAAGAGTGTGAATATGTCAAAGATGAAAAATAACATACAAATTTTAGTACTGATATAATAGCCTTAAAAATAAATTATATCGGGGATGAAAATAGGTGTCAGTTTAAGTGTGTATGCATTTATTGCATAGCACAAATATACATTGAAGAGCAAAAACATTATAACCACCTACTCAACATGTTGCATGACCTTTGGCCTGCATAACAGCTGCAACATGCCTTGGCATGGATGCCATAAGTTCTTAGTAGATGACTGGAAACTGGTTATACCAAATGTCTAAGTAGCAGTTATGCAAAGTTGAGACATTCTAACATGGTGGTGTTTGAGCTCTGAGCTGTCTCTCCCTGACATCTCAAATGTGCTCTGTCAGGTTAAGATCTGGCGAGCTAGGTGGCCAGGACATTGATTGGAATTCATTCTTATGCTCCTCGAACCACTCCAACACAATTCGAGCCTTGTGACATGGGGGCGTTGTCTTGCTGGACGATTCCATTTTCAGTTGGGAAGACACATACCATGTAACGGTGCATCTGATCTGCAGTTATGTTAGATAATTTGCAGCTTTCATGGTATGTTCTACCACAATTAAGCATCCCAGAACTACCCATGAGAGCATCCATCAAAACATAATACTGCCACCACCAGCCAGTGTATGATCAGCTGTACAGTAGGGAGCAACTTGTTCACCTGGAATAGTGTGTACCTTGACACGACCATCGATGTGATGAATGAGAAATCTTGATTCATCTGACCTGGCAACTCGTCTCCCACTTATCCATGTTCCTGGGTCCCCTGTAGGCATAGTTGACAATGATGCTTTATCAGCAGAAGCACATGAGTGGTATGTTTGCTGTGCAGTTCCATATCCAACAGTGTCCACTGAACTATGTAGTATTGGACTGTAAACTGAGCCACTGTCTGACATTGATTTTGCTGTATCAAGCAGAACAGTCTAGGGCAACCTTTTTCATTGATGATACTTGAACATCCAACACCTTGGCATCTACTGCTGGTTTCATGGGTGTTTATTCAATTTGCATAAATACTAACAATGGCAGATTGTGAACAACCTACCATTCGTATAATTTCAGAGATATTTGTTCTGAGTCTTTAGGCTGTTAAAATATGCCTTCTATCAAATTTGCTTAGATCAGCAGCCTTTCCCATCACTTGCAAAAGTAAGGGTAAGAATGATTCTTTACCTTTTCCAACAGCAGTTAAATACCATTCCCACTTAATCATGTGCTCTCCATGTCATCCAGATGAGTTCATTGAAAAATTTTGGGATGGTCCTAATGTTTTGCCATATCAGTGGAAATTCACCCAGAGATTTCATGTTGTATGGATAATAAAGGTATGCATCTTGAAGCAATTTACAGAATTTTTGCAAATATGTAGTCTTATTTCACTGTGCCATCAGCTACAGGAAGGAAAACTTCTATTAATTGAAATCTGTTCGTAATCTCTCATTTTATTTACCTAATTTTAGCTCTCACATCACAGATCTTTAGACTTTTTCAGTTATTGCAGACCTTTTATTTTTAAATTTCAGTTTTCAAAAATATATTTTTTATAAAATTTTGAAATTTTTAAAGATTACATAATAAATATTTTCAGGCTTCCAACTTATTTGAAAAGAGGGGAGAATGTAAACGATTTTTTCAAAAAGTTCAGGGAAAAACATAACTTTTCGCCAACAGTTAGGGAAAATGAAAAAAAGTGCTGATCAATCCTCTCAGATGATAAAAAGTTCAAGTTTTAATTAATGTACCAAAAAAATTACTTCTCTTAATAAAAAAGCAAATGAAGAATTATTGCACTTTTTGTTTTTTTTTGCAAACATTAGTTTACCCACTTTGTATCTGATACAGTTTTATCCCATAGTGGTTATGTCAGTAGTCTCAGACTGACAGCTCATAGTCCATATTTGTCCCAGAAAATGGATACATTTGACCCAGAAAGACTCTGCTGTCAAATAGCACCCTAAAGAGAGAGTTTCAGCTGTCGTCAAGGAAGTTTGCTGCTTAAAAAGAAATGCATAACAACAAGGGGAAAAATTTTAGCGATTTGAAATTGTTACCCATGCTATTTCCACCATCTTTTAAAGATATTCTTGTGTGATGGAAAGATCTGGCAAGTGCACAACGTTCTGTTCTCTGTAGTAGCAAACGCAAATAGATGGGATTCTGAAAGTAGGGCCTATCGTCTCGCAACTTCTGTAATAGCAGACGTAGCAGATATCTTTCAGTTCTGCGCCAAAACCAGAGGCATCTTCTGGCACGCGGGAGTTGCACTTTGATCAGAAGTGTTTAAAAGATTATAGCAGGCTTCAGTTAAAAATCTTGCTAACAGAAGCCACGGAAACTGTCCCGGAGCACACCATGGAAATTCAGAAGCTGCCTCTTCAATCCTTTTCGGACTGCCCAACAGAAACCACAGAGATCTAGTCCCTGCAGTACTTCATCGATGGAACTCGAGATCCTGAGATAAGCCCCGTGAATGGGAGGATCTAAAAAATGCCTTATTATACGTCATAAAATTCGAGGCAACTTGTCGAGCAACTCCTAGAGACCACCTCCCAATCAGTCCAGGAGCCAGTGGATCAAGTGGCTGCTCGTCCAGACTATTTAACCAGGCATGTGAGTACAGTGAAGTGAAATAGGAATGGCAACAGACCGATACTAAAGTTCCATAACTGCGATGGGGAAGGCTACTTACGATGAACTGTAGAAAAATCTCCAAGGCATGGAAGTTGAAACCGCTTCCCTGCAAGGAGGCAGGAAACAAATTAGTGCCAAGAAATTCTGCCATCTCGCCCAGCAGAGGTTGCCACGTATTAAGAAGCCCCATTTTAAAGCACTTCAGATTTCTACAATAAGTGGCGGCAGTAATGGACTTCATATGGGGCATATCAATAGAGTTCCTTGCAATACACATATCGAAACAGAAGCCAATGTTACTATTATTCGAAAAAATCTGGCTCAACATTTGGAAAGTAAAACTCATCAGGACGCTGCCATGTGTTACCCTTCAGACTGTGTCCGGTGATAAAATCAGCATGGGTGGAAAGTTAAACGTTAACATCACATGTGGAAGTACCCCCTGCCATCATATGGCACATGTAGTGAATATTATAGATCCTTGCATACTGAGGTTAGACTTTCTAAGAAAATACAGTTTTTCCTTGGACTTTAAAAATAACGAACTGTATTCTGCATCTGAGGACATACCCTGTTTGGAATTAAAGGTGGAGGAGTTAAATCCGTCCACCAAATCATAAGTAAAGATGATATCAGAGCACCAACAAGAACAGAATATTTACTTCCTGAATCCATAGTTAAAAACAGAAATTTCCGGGACAGCATAATGGAATATCTTAAGAACTGTAAGAATCCAAAAAGAGTATTAGTAGCATTGGCAGTCGTCAACCTATTAAGAACCATAATTCCAGTGAGAGTTATCAACCTAAGTCATAAAATGATGTGGTTCCAACTCGTACTCCATTGACCAGCGTTAAATGAAATAGTAACTCTCCAGAACCCGTGTCTTCAGATAGCCTAATGTCAGAGTTATTGCACAGTGCGTAACTAAACGATGAAGAGAGAGATAGAGATCCTGCAGATTCAAGAATTTCAAGATGTTCTTTTCCCTGCTCATCTTCTGAAGTGATCAAACCATTTGGTACAGCGTTCCCATACGGGGGAACGTCTGCCGAGTGCTAAACAGGAAGAGGTAAGGAAAGCTCCAAAGGGCATGGAAGAAAGTGATGTTATTGAGCCTTGAGCAAGTCCTTGGGCGTCTCTCATTCAGACATCTTCTCTGGTCTCACAGAAGATGCTTACCGGCTTAAGCTATTCGCACCAACATTGAGTTGTCAAAGGCGGGTTTCTAGCTTGGCATAGTTTATCATTTTTTAAGGGTTGGCGACTTTCAAAAGTTTAGAAAGGAAAATGGGTTCCTTTTCTTATAAAAAGAAGGAACACATTTACTTTTATTAAAGTATATATAAAAAGGGGCATATTTTTTATGGTCACAATCTTTATCCTTTTCCTGAACGGTTTGAATAGTTTAAATGACTGATTTGAAGGGGGGGGCAAAATCGTGTTGACATTTTTTGTACTTCTTAGAATTCATTTAGCATTAAAGATGTGTCTTGCTCAATCAAGCCTTTAATTCATTCCTCTTTGAAAAATTTCGTCCGATAAAAGATACTAAAAATTAGACAGCAGATTTCTGTGTAAAAATTTAGACATAAAATAAGTTGGTAAAAGTGATTATATGAACTATGAATTGAATTATTCTGTATGCCTGCTTTTTTTTTTTATGGAAATACTTGGCATTTTCAGGACACAGAAAGTGCTTCAAAGAACTTTGAAATATTAGTACAAACACATTAATCAATTAAATTGAAATGAATAATGGGATGTAATTTAAAAGACAGCAATAATTTAATGTAAGAGATTTAGATTTAAAAATTTGCACACACAAATGATTTATCAGATCTTGTAAGGTTTTATTTCATAAATAACTTTGATTTTGAAATATGGCATTTGAACCTATAAACCTGTGTGGATACTGAAAAACCGATGAATATATAAGAATATTATCATTTTCAGTAAGTTTTCTTATTGAATAATAAATTCTGACAGTCCTATGCTATAAGAATAGGGTCTAAGTTTGCATAAAAATTCCTTTGTTAAATAAAAGAATTTAAGTAATTTCTGTAGCCCTTTTCTCAATACACTACCATCATTAATATATAATATTATTATATTATTAATATAATAATCATAACCATCATTAAATCCCTATTTTATCTAATCATTTCCTGAACATTATCATGTATATAGATTGACCTCGTCTTTGTAACTGATAATTATTACTTGCAAATTATTCTCTTGCTGGTGAATTATTAACAACTCTTTCTATTGCTGAGTTAGGGTT